ACCTCTGACACTTTAGAATGTGATCATTACTTAGAAAGAGGGTCTTTACACAGGTGATTAAATTAAATTAAATTAAAATGTGGCCCTTAGGGTGGGTCTGAATTCAACATAAACAGTGTCTTCATAAAAAAGGGAAATTGCACTTGGAGACATGACACAAGGAGAACACTGTGTGGAATGAGAGCAGAGGTCAAAGGGATGTATTTATAAGCCAAGAATGTCAAAGTTTGACAGCAGAACAAGCCAAGGGAGAGGCCTAGAACCAATTCTCCCTCCCAGACCTCCCTCAGAAGGAGCCAGCCTCGTTCACATCTTGATTCAGGCTTCCAGAAATGTCAGAGAATAACTTTCTGCTGTTTAAGCCACCAGTTGGTGGCACTTTGGTATGGAGCCCTAGAAAATGAACACATGCTCACATAGACATTGGGGACACCCTCAATGTGACTCCCTGCTCCCTGGTGGCCAGTCCCACAGCCTCTATTAGCTTTTGTAGCGCCAAACTCTGCTCTTTGCTGTTTAGCTCAGCAGGACTGCGGGACTGTTCTTGGGCTGTCTTCCTGCGCTGTTCCTAGGGACCTGCCCCAGGCAGGGAGCCGTGGAGCTTGACTTGCTTCATGGCTTCATGTTTTCCATCTTGCTGGGGCTGCAGGCAGGTCTGCCCCTGGACCCAGTGCCTGAAAACCCATGTTCACACACTCTGCCTGGCTTTATCGTTGTTTATGGTGCCACGCAATTCCAGTATTTTTTACTCTATCCCAGACAGATGTGAATTTTCTGTTCTGAGCTCTTTATTTGAATGCATTCATTGAACCCTCTCAACTACTCTATGAGGTAGACTATTATCCTCATGAGTTCAAGATCAAGAAACAAGGCAAAAAAGGAGACTGAGTAACTGGTGCATGGACATAGCTTACAAGTGGTGGAGCAAGATTTTGAATCTGGGCCTTTTCACAGTAGAATCTATGTTCTTAAGCTTGATTATCTTCCATGGTAGCTGTTCCATGGGTGTATATGGAATAAATGTTTCTTCTACCTTTGTGGCCCATTTACCTTTGTTCCACCTGCTCAGGAAAATCCCAACAGTACATCAACCCAATAACTTCACTTCTGGTTGTTTTTTTTTTAAGATTTATTTATTTATTTATACAAGAACTGGGGTATAGCCCAGACGTGCGAGAGGGTGAGAGGATTCACCAGAGACAGAGCGGGGAACAGAACAGGCAGATTAACTGAAATACACTGCTGAGGGGAGCAGCGGGCGAGACAGGAGAGGTCTGCCATGCTATGTGGGACCCTCGCCGGCCGGCCAGGATCAAACAGGCGCTGCAGAGGCTGCGGACAACTTCACAGCACGGCGCTCAACCACCTGTGCCACAAGGGGAGGCCCCCAATAACTTCACTTCTTCTGCCCCCAGACTGCTGAGCACACTGGAGAAAAGGACCTTTCTGACCAAGTTATGCAGACCTTCAAAAATACCTAGCCATTCTGTGTTTCCCTCATCTTAGCCTTCAATTTTCTGCTGGTTCTCGCCTGAAGTCTCAGACACCTGTACCTCCCTATTCATTATTTTCAGGAAAAACAAATTTTCCAGCTGTGAACTCTCAGTCTCCCACTCATTCCCATTTATTCGGCTGGTGTTGGCATCCATCCCTGCCTTTCCCTCTGCTGTCAAAATATTTAGTGTTTCTCTATCTAAGGCTCATCTACTTTTAGCGACTCCTCCATATCTGTTTCCCTTTCACATCCAAGCTTCCCGAAGAGGTGTTTACATCCACTGGCTGTTGCTCCTCACCCCACTTATGCCACGTCTACGCATCACTTCATTCCTCATTAACATGGACACCTACTTTATTAATTTCATCTTCATGAACTCTCTAAAGGTATTTGTTATTCCTCTTTAACTTCTTCATTTGATGCTCCATTCATTATTTATTTTATGTTTATTAACATGAGTAATTAAGATCATCCAAGTCTTCTTTTGTGTCTAAAAAAGGTCTTCCCTGTATTGCTTTTTGAGTATCTCCTTGTTGTTTTTCCTCATTTGCTTTCTCATCCAGGTCTCTCCACTCCCAGCAATTTGAAAAATGTATAATTAAAAAAAATCTTTATCTTTTTACTTTTAAATAAATATACTTAAACCTGAAGGAAAAACTAAAGGATTTTTACCTGTAGGACTCTTTCCTACATATTTTTGATCTTGGTTTTGGTTTCTTGATTGATCCAAAGTGTATAAAAGAAAATTTAAATTGCTGTGTGTAGCATCTCTTGCATTTTGACAAGTGTGTATCATTTTACTTATTTATTTATTTATTTTAAAGATTTATTTATTTATACAAGAACAGGTACAGGTCAGAGGTGCGGGAGGGTGAGAATTCACCAGAGACAGAGTGGGGAACAGAACAGGCAGACGGACTGAAGACACTGCTGAGGGGAGCAGCGGGTGAGGCAGGAGAGGTCTGCCATGCCATGTAGTTTTCTCCCTGGCCGGCCGGGAATCGAACCCACGTTGCAGAGGCTGTGGACAGCTTCACAGCATGGCGCTCAACCCGCTGCGCCACCAAGGAGGCCCAGTGTATATCATTTTATATGATTTCTACAGTGGGGAAGTTCTCTAATTTCTCTGGCTTTATATACTGTCCATTTTTGTGAACATGAAGGAAGTTTAACATGAAGTAATTTAAAAGAAGGTATATTTTCTTTTTTGCAGATTACATAGATTTCAGACTATAGATTATAAAATTTCAGTTTATAATTAACCAAATTTGTATATTATTAATTACATTTTTGTTTCTTCTATATCCTTACTTACTTAGGAAAATGAGAGCATAGAAACCCACACCCTTTCCCTGAGTATTAGGAAGCATCAAGACTCCAGACTTGTCCCTACTCCCACAAGGTGTGGAGCTCGAGGGTGGTCTTGTGGTGCAGAGGACCCTGAGGAGTGGGACCATGGCTGGCTGAGTGGGAGATCGAAGCAGGGTAGAGAAATGGAAAGAGCAGGCAGGGAGGTTGGCAAAAGGGAAGATTTTGCAACCTTTGTTAATCAGTGATCTAGGATCAGATTACACAGTGTAATCTCGGTAGGTAGGTTGCAGCTGCACAGACAGATGCCAAGCCCCCTGCCTGGCACCAAGCTAGTGCCCCACCACACCCTGCTCCCACCCACAACATCTGTGCCTCCAGCTCCTGTCTCTCTGTGAGTTCCAGACTCATGTCCAGATCTGGTTAGGTTGTTCAGCCTCAGGCTAAGCATGCCATAAACTCGACTCATCGTATCTTGTCTCCTCATCCTCTTTACCCCACAACTAAAAACTGTTCTTGTCTCCCCTACTTGACTAAATATTACCAACATCCATTCAGTTGTCTAGACCAGAAACCAAAACAAACCAAAATATCTTCATCCTGTTATCATGCATATACACGAGGAGCTCAAGGGAGTTTAGTTTAAACACTGGGAAATCTGCTTGAGTAGTTTGGAAGGGTCCCATAGAGGAAGGTATGATACAGTGAAGCAGAAGAGACTAGAAACTCTTCCCTATAAGCCAAAGTCACTGAAATGCTTGGGGGCAGGGTGGTGTGGTAAGGAGGTGGCTGTGGTGGGAGGAGGTGGAGGTAGCAAATGAATGGCAAAGGGAAGAAGATTCAGGAAACTTTCTTCATGGGCTCTTCTGGTCTTCATCCAGGTGCTTGTGGGCAGAGGAGTGATTAAGCCTGAGTTCCTGCAAGAAAGAACCAGGGTATCAGGTTGCTTCTTCCTCTCTGGACAAAACTCAGTCCTGTCCAGGGGTCCTCAGGGGTCCCGGCTGCCTGCTGTCAGGTACATTTTGCCACTTCCCTAGATCATTACAAGTTGGTCAGAACCCTTGGGTGATGGAGTCCTTTCCCTGCTAAGACACTACCATGTCAATTCTTAAAATCAGCTGTCAGTGTCCTTGAGCCCTGGGGGACATCTGTAGGAGGAAATGTGGCAGGCAAATTTCAAATCAGATGCTAGTCTTCAACCCTGGGGCACTTTAACTAGGGACACCTGTGTTAACTTATCCATCATCACATCCTATGGGTAAAGTAATAGACAAACAAAATGTAGCTGCAGTGCCCAGGAGAAAATGAGCAGGCTAATAGTCTGCAGGGACTCTTGGATCCAGCTAGTTTTCTTGGATCTTGTTGTTTATCTTGGAAGTCCTGTGCTAGGGTGCAAATGCTGATGTTCTGTGTCAACCTCCTCTCTCCTGGCCGAAGAGAGAATAAGGTAGGAGGAGGTGACCACTGGCGCTGTATTCCCCTTTCAGATTCCACACTGGCAAGCAAGTTTCTGGGGATATAGTTGGTGCTCAATAAATATTTTTTGTTTGATCTTCAGCATGCAACAGATGATATCAGCGGGGCCATTAGGCACTGCAGTTAGAGTGTTAGGAATGGGCCCTTCCTAGTGGCCGAAGGGTTAAGTCTCAGTGCTATCACAACTATTACCTGAGTTTGATCCTAACCAGGAAGCTAACCCACATACGGTGGGTGCATACCCACTGTATGCACCCACATACAGTGTAGCAGACCTCTCCTGTCTGGCCTGCACCTCCTCTCAGCAGTGTATTGCAGTAGACCCACCTGTTCTGCTCCCCACTCTGTCTCTGGGGAATCCTTTCACCTCCCCTCCAACTCTGGCCTGTACCCCAGTTCTTCTACGCAAAAATAAGAGTGCTGGAAATGGAAGCCAGGGTCCTCGGGAACGTGATCAGATTCCCTCTTTGAACAGTTTATTTCACAGTGCTAAATTGGCAACAGACAAAGCTGATTTTCAACTAAATGTCCTCCTGCTCCCTATGAAAATTAGTAAATTAGTATACGGAAACCCTGCTTAAGTGAGGTTTTGTGCAGGTGCAATAAGGAAACTACAGAACCCAACATACCTTGCACCTCCAACAGGAAGTGATGTTGCTTCTTCACCCAGTGGAGAGAAGGCGGGTCCTCTTTGCCTAGCAACAGCTTAGCCAATGAGAGACTGTCATAGTCAACAACTGAAAAGTCATCACACATCAAATTTGCAGTTTCCTCCAAGGAACACTTTGGTGACAACAGTCCCTCCAAAATCTATATAAATTGGTTAAGACCTTTGTTCAAGAGAAGAGGGTGTCTTCCCCTATGATGAGCCCCTGGAGCCTCTGCAGATGGAGAGTGGAGCCTTTGGGAGGTGTGGGCTTCAGAGCCATGCTTTGGCACTGACGGGTTAGAATGTCCCTCAGGGGGACTAAAGGAAAACTGGCTGGCATTGGCTCCAGGCTCAGCATTCATCAGACCCTCCCCACCTGGGCGAGGAGATCATCTCCACTGGCCACACGGACAAGTCCACCCAGGGCTGAAAGAGAAGCCGAGACTGTGTCACTGGTCTCCATGGTGAAACGCCTGCTTGAAGAGAACAGGTAAAGGGGTGTTGCTTTCTGGGGCCTCAGGAGCTTCACTCAGCTCTCTGAATGAAGAATTTTCCATGAGGCCCATGTGGAAAGGACAAGATAGGTGGGAACTAAGAGATCAGGAAGTCAGGGGAAGCTTCAGAAGAAGGAAGTCAAGTGAGTCCTAAAAAGACCAGACAAGGAAACAGAAGTCAATGGCTGGAGACCAGCCTCTGGGTGTCATAATAAGAGGCTCTTCTAACTGGCCCTGGAGGCGTCACTGTGTGAAGGATTTGAAGTTGCAGTCAGAGAGATTCTCATGATGTTTTGTCCAGAATGTCACGGCAGGATGGGCGGGGCACAGCAGCTAGCCGCTCATGACCGGTGCCCACTCTGACCAGTGATGCCCGTGTAGTTCCCACTGCAACCCCGGGGACGCTCCCAGCGTTGAAATCTTTCTGTGGATCACACACGGTGGGGAATAGAATAAAGGCCTATCTTGCACACAGGTAGGGCAGAATTTGTGTCAATTCAGGGCACCAGAAAGGTTGACCGTAGCACCTTCGCTCCCCAAATATCGCCCTTGCCCCCAGTTAGGTAAGAAGACGAAGGTTGTACTTTAGATTTTAATCCCTTTGCTTAAGATTATGACTTTTTAAAATAGAGATGAACTGGAAGGAGTAAACAAGTGGTCCTTCCTCGTGCCTCCCTCTGAACGTGCCTTTCTGCCAGGAACGGGTAGTGGGAAGAAGAGGAAGTGTGAGACAATGTGGAGGTGGGCGGTGTGGCCAGGGGACACTTCGTGGCTTTGCCAGCTGACTCCAGGCAGACCCTCCCCTTGCTTGGGTCAGGACACACGCAGGCATCAGCAGTCGGGAAAGTCCTGCAGGGAGACGCCTGCAGGTGGACAGCACTGACTGATTGCGGATTGGGCAGGACCTGGACTTGACTTTGTCCACTGTGGACTTCATGACCCTGTCTCCCCTGAGCTGGCCTTGCTGTGTTCCTCTGTGACATGGGTGACTTGATATTCTGGGCGTCTGTGGAAAGAGAATGACGTGGGCGGGTGCATCCCAGGTGAGGAGTATGACACACGGACTACCCCCCTTTTCCTGCCACCCCTGCGCTGAGCAGGAGGAGCAGGGAATGAGCCCCCCAGCAGTGGCTCTTTGGGTGTGACCCAGGAAGGAGCAATCCCTGAACCCAGCCGTCCTGGCCCCTCCTTGTGCCTCGAGGTTGCCTGCCAAGATGCCTGGAGCCGCCTCAGAACCCTGCAGCACAGCCGCCTCAGAACCCTGGCTTAGCAGGACCCTTGAGACCAGCCTCTGGGTGTCATAATAAGAGGCTCTTTTAACTGGCCCTGAAGTCGTCACTGTGTGCAGGATTTGAAGTTGTAGGGTTTTTTTTTTTTTTTTTTTTTTTAAGATTTATTTATTTATTTATATAAGCACTGGGTACAGTCAGAAGCGCTGGAGGGTGAGAGAATTCACCAGAGCCAGAGCAGGGAGCAGAACAGGCAGACTGATGAAGTACACTGCTGAGGGGAGCAGCGGGCGGCAGGAGAGGTCTGCGCGCCATGTGGGACTCTCGCCCAGCAGCTGGGGATCGAACCGGCGCTGCAGAGGCTGAGGGCAGCTTCGCAACCCAGCACTCAACCGCTGCACCACCGGGGAGGCCCTGAAGTTGTAGGTTTTGAAGCTGACGAAGGCTCAGTGAGCAACTGGGCCCCACTTAGAAGATACTCCTATTACTCAGGTGTTCTTCCCCGGGGGAGGAACTGAGAGATTTGCAAGGGCCCCGAGTGGGTCAGGGTGGCCCTCCAACTATCATCTCTCAACTCACTTACTTTCCTCTCCACTCAGTCCGTTTATTTTGAAGCCTCACCTGCAAAGTCTTTTAGAGTCTTGTTATAAGCCATTGCCTGGCAAACAGGGATGTTTATCTCAGAGAGGTTTATAATATGCTCCTCTAATGGCCCAGAGCCAAGAGAACTGGACCGGAGAAACAGCTACACCTACCCTAGTTTGGAGGGTGCTTGGGTCTACATGGAGTGAAGGGGGTGGGTTCCCCCACAATCCCCTACCCTAGGCAGTTTGGGACTGCACAACATCTCAGCTCATTTGTCAGCTCCACCCACACTCCACTAATCCTGCAGCCCTCACCCCACGAAATGAAAAGGACACAGGCATCTGTGTCAGGAGGCCCGGCTTAGACACTTGACTCTGGCGTACTTGCTCTGTGACTTTAGGGAGGTTATTAATATCTCAGGACCTGAGTTTCCCCTTCTCTGAAATGAAAATAAAAACTCCCCTCGCCAGAGTAGTGTCAGATCCTGAAGACTGAACGTGGACACACTGGGTGGATAGTGACATGAGCAGTGTTGTAGGTGGGAGTGCTAGCTGACCTTTGTATGCCTGCAATAGCAGTTCTTTTTTTAAAGATTTATTTATTTATGCATACAAGAGCTGGGGTGTAGGCCAGAGGAGCAGGGGGTGAGAGGATTCCCCAGAGACAGTGGGGAGCAGAAAAGGCGCATTGACCGAAATATACTGCTGAGGGGAGCAGCAGGTGACAGGAGAGGTCTGCTGTGCCATGTGGGTCAGCTCCCTGGCCGGGTATTGAACTCATGCTGCTGTGGCTGCAGATAGCTTCACAGTGCTGAGACTCACCCCCTCGTACCACCAGGGTGGCTCCGCAATAGCAGTTCTAAAGAGACCCAGGGAAGTTTTTTTCCTTCTTGATCTACTGCCTCCCACTGAACTCAATTTGGTACAGGGATGGGACACTTGAGAAATATATTTTAAAGGAAGTAGCAGCAGATCAGTGAGCCATGAAGATGATCAAGAGTCTACCAGATAAAGGAATCTTGAGTGTGGACACCCAGGAGGGAAATAAGACTCTGTGCTTGGTGAACCTCGACAAAAATTGGACACTTGGGTACAGAACATGGCCACTGTCTTTTAGGGCCCTGTTAACACCTGGGGCCCTGGTGTGATCCAACAGGCCAGCGCCCCAGGTGGGCAAAGGAATGCCAGAGGGGACTGTTTGCAGAGGATGGGCAAGCAAGGCATTTATCCATCCAGCAAATATTTGCAGAGTGCCTACGTGAAGCCAGGCACCTTTGCCCAGGGCCAGGCCTCACACTCACCGCAGTTGCAACATCCATGCCCTTGACCATGGTGCCCTTGGGCAACTCAACCTCTCTTCCTTGTGCTATTGCTGTCCTCACTGACTGTTGCCACTGAGCGGGATGTGTTGCTTCCTTGAGATCTCTTTGCTGAAGCCTCACCTCTGTTGGTGTGTATAAGTTTCTGTGCAGCTGTGTGTGTGTCTGTGTATATTTGTGTGTGTGTGCATAGTCATGTGTGCACAGGTATGTGTGTGCACTGATACAGGTAACAGACAGTGGTCACATCTGGCAGAGGTGCCACCACCTTGGTGGTCAGGAAGGCTGGATCCCAGAGGCTGGGATCAGGTCAGGTGTTGCTTCCAGAGGAGCTTGTCACAGAGGGGCCCAGAGGCTGTACTGGTGCTCCATCTCCAAGGACAGTCCCAAAGTACCTGGAGGGTGTGGCCAGAGCTAGACTGGGCCGGGAAGGGAAGGGGAAGAAGAAGCAGGTGGGCCTCTGGGGAGGGTGTCCAGGACAGGTGCTCTCGGCTGACCCGGCCTTCCCGAGCTGCATCACACTGCATGAAGGGTGGGTGGGCTGGGAGGGTGAGCGTCCTGCGGCAGGTGGTTCTGGCTGGTCATGCAGGCCTTGGCACTAAGGAGCTATAATGGCTCTTTTTTACGTGATCTTCGAGCCACTGCATTTGTGACTCCTGGTGGGCATTGTGTTTGGCTTCATGGGAGAGAGGGAGATACCAACCTGGGCAAGACTCAACTGGTGACCCAAGATTCACCGGTACCCCAACATCACATTTTTGTCGTGCCCATGAAGTAGGCAGGGGCTCTATGGCCAGGCTCAGGAGAGGACTGGGGTTGGAGGCGCAGAAGAGGGAAGGGTGAGAGCCTGGCCAGAGCAGGGAAGGTTTCCCGAGGGAGGCGCCCCGAGATGGGTGGGTGGAAAAGCATTCCCACTGGGGACGCAGCACCACTATAAATGTCCTCGGTGGAGGCTGGGTGAAGGCCTGCTCCATTGCTGGAGGGTGCCTTCCTGTGAGTGGGAGATGAAGCTAGCAAGACGCTTGGGCACTGGACTCTACCACCTGCCCGGTGGATACTTACAGAGCTCCTGCTGCCCTTCAGGCACTGAGAATGCAATAAAGATGAACTGCCCTGCCCTCCTCAGGCTGATAGAGGGTCCAATGTGAGAGGAGGCGAGGCTCACCTGGGGTGCCACAGGAGGGGAGGGGCGAGGCGTCACAAAGAGCTGAGGTGAAACAGGTTGGAGGCAGTGAGGTGGATGGAGCTGGGCCAGGCTCTTGAAGCATTCCAGGGGCGAGATGGTGGGAGCTGCGGGTGGACCACAGACCTGTTTGGGGAACCTTGGTCTGGAGACATGTATGGAGAGGCCGCCAGGTGCAGGCCCTGTTCTATATTCTGGGGATCCAGTGGGTGAGTATAAGCAAGCCCTGCTCTCCACTGCTTGGGTGGGGAGGGAAGCAGACAACAGAATGGACAAGGACAGGGACTCTTTCAGAGTGTGAGAGGCCTGCTGCTGGAAGCACGCAAGGGGGCCCAGGAGGAGTAAAGGTCAGAGGGGGCAGGGGGCTCCATACAGGCGCCTGGGACGGGCAGACATAGACTCAACCTCCACACAGGAGGCCGTGGTGTGAGAGCAGGAGCACCTGGGGTGGGGGCGGGCCGGCTGTCTCCCTCTCTCCATAACAGAGCTCTCCAAAGTGGGCTTGGACAGCGCCCGTGGAGCAGGACCTGCAGGTGCACAGGGCTGCTCCCCTGCCTGTCGCAGGCCTCCCGAAAAGAAGCCTATTGTACAAGGCCTGGCCCTACCCTTCGCTTTCCAGAGGATCCCAGGCACTCAGGCCTCAGAGGAAGAGGCAGGAGGTGAGTGGGGTGGGTGGCTCTTCTGGAGGGCACAGATAATCCTGCTGAATGTGTGTCTCTGTGTGGGTGTCCCCTGGGGAGGAAGGTGTAGGACGGCTCCCTGGGGCCGGGCCCTAGCCTGTTTTAGATGATTTCCTTTGTGCTTCCCTCTGGACACTAGGGGGCAGCCGAGCCTCGAGCTTGGAGGCTGCAGGGTCCGTAGAGCTGGAGGACTCAATTCCCTTGCCTTGCCTAGGCAGGGCCTGTTCATTTGCATGAGGCCTGTTGAACTTGACCTCTGAGTGGGGGAATCGGGAGGAAGAGGGCCTCCCTTCCCACCAGAAGGGAAGCTGAGGCCCAGGAAAACTATCCAGATGTGCTGGCTCCAAGCCCCAATAAGACACCAGGTGAAGGGGAGGCACCCGCTCCATCTCTGGAGGAAATTCTCCTGGGCTCTCTCTGTTGAGAACCTCCTCAAAGCCCGTGAAACTGGGGCAGGAGGACCACGGACTGTAGGCACAGTAAGCCCATCAGATGCTTGCAAAAGCTCTTCAGGCCGATGCATGTGCTGGTCCCAGGTTGGTGCTAGTAGTCCAGAGGTGAATTGGATTCAAGCTCTGCAAATGGACATTGCAGTATAGTACTGTAAATTCTGAGAGAGCAAGCAAGAGAGAGAGAGAGAGAGAGAGAAAGAGAGAGAGAGAGAGAGAGAGAGAGAGAGAGGTGCAAGGCATTTGGGGAGCAGAGAAGAGGGGCATTAACCTAGAACTAGAGCTGAGGTGCAGGGAAGTAAGAGGAGGCTTTCTGGAAGGAAAGGTTGACTGTCCAGGGTAAGAAGGCTTAGCCAGGGAAAGGTGGAGAGGACTTTGTAGGCAAGGATCCCAAACAGTGCAAGCAAGAGATCCAAGCCGAGAAACAAGGTCCAGCGTGTTGGATAAAGTTCCAGCTTAACACCTGTCAGTGCTGCCTTCAGCCGTGTGATAGGCACACTCTGTTTGATGAGACTGGAGCCTTCCTTTCCAGCTTCCTGAACAGCTTTGTGCATGTTCACAAGGGCTTTGGAGAACTGGGGCCTGCAGGATTAGGGGGATGTGGGGTTGGAAGGGAGACTTGGAGTCCGGGAAATTCATTTCTGGATAGGCTTCTTCCTCGGGAGGAACTTCCACTTCCCTGTGCCTGAACATAAGACTCTCCTGCCAATAGGGGACTGTATGCAGAAGTCACTAAGAAAGTTGGGAGAGTACATTCTAGAAGAATCTAGAGGTTAATATTGTAGACAGACAACCAGCATAATTTCACAAAGAAAACCCACCAGGTTTGAATATTAGCTAGCTGGGTCACATAGCTGGATTCCTGACTGATGAAAAGCTCCCTAACCAAAGTGACGGGGCAGGCAGATCTGTTCTGAAATGTGTGCAGTGAATAACCAACAGGGAGCCCAGCACCTTTGAAAATATGCCAAGGCTAAGCCAATCACTACCTGCAGGAAGAAGTCCAAAGTCAAAAAGGAGAAAGCATATGATCAGGAAATATGTAGAAAGAGGAATCCTCAAAAGACAGCACACATTTGGGGGCTGAGATCGGCTACCTCTGCTGATTCCCGTGTCTTCTCTTCTTTGGGACACAGCTAGAATCATCCCTTAGCCCTCTTGGCTCAGGACATATGCCGGCCCTAGCCCAGGAAGTGTGAATAGATCAATGTGTGACTCCACGTAGGCTGGGTCTTCCCCTGGCCTGCCATTCTCTGCAGACTCTCTCTTCTCTCCCCGCTGTCTGGCCACAGAGTCTGGTGAAGGACTCTGGGCCCTGGGGGAAGCAAAGCCACTAGCAGAAGACTGACCCCCGCCCACCAGAGCAGAGCCCTCCCCTCCCACCCTGGACAGTGATGTGAACACAAAATGAGCATGCGTCTTTTGGGGTTGTCACATCACTTAGGTTACCTTACTGACACATGTTTAAATGTTTTAAGTGTGCCAGAGAAAGGCAAAATAAAAAGGTATACAGCAACTGATTAGGTTGACAACCAATGGCAAAGTAGACCATTCCCAGGATGGGGACGGGGAGGGGTGTGTGTGTGTGTGTGGCAATACGGGAACCCCCCGCTCTGCTGGTGGGGCCAAGATCTGGTGTTAGCCCTGCCGGGGCAACCTGGTGATTCTTACCAAAATTAAGTATGTGACTTTCTTATGACTCAGCCATTCTACACCTGGAAATTTGTGGAAATTCTCCTGCAGTCTATGCAGAGGAGACAAGGATACAGAGATACACGGGAGGTGGAGGCAATCTGGGTGCCTGTGATTGGGGGAGCAAGGAGATGAGGGGGTACAAGTCACTGAGGACTATGTAGTGGGAAGTGATGTGTCACATGCACTCAGAGCGATGTGCATAGGCCTTCTGAACAGTGACATGATGTATATTGAAAGTACATGCATACAAAAATGCACATAAAGGAAAGAATATACATTAAATGCCATAGAATGGTTGCCTATGGGGACGAAAGTGGAAAATGGGTGAGAAGAAAGAAAACAGAACTGAGTAGGTGAATTCACTTCTACTATCCAGAAACCTAGTTCATTTCAAACTCTGTCTGCCAACAGCTGACTCCTGGCAGTCTCCGTTTTCTGACTGTGGGGCCTCGATTTCCTTCCCAGAAGCTGATTTCCGTGAGGCAGTTACATCCTTCTTCAATTTTTTTAAAAAGTTCATGTTCAGCCCTTACCATTCTTTCCCCAATTTAATAAGCATTCTCTTTGAATCACCTGACCTCATGCTTTTTCAAAAATGAAACAACAGTAAAAGAGCAACAGAATGACAAGATCCAATCTTAGGCTAAACATCCTTTACGCTGAGCATAAAGGGATTCTCTTCTCACGTGTGTAATAAGCAGAGCGAGAAAAGAGTGACCTATGGTTTCCTTATATTTGTAGAGCACGATTACTGACACGACAGGACGAGCACCTTCAATATATGTTATTCCATTACAGTAATTAGGAGGAAGCAAGAAAAAAAAAAATCAATGGAACCGAGAAGAAAGCCCCAAATCAGGCTGTGGTGAGTGTGGTCAGGGAGCACAGGACGTAGGCGTGTCCCAGCAAAAAGGAACAGAAACACAGCAAAACTACCCAAGTGGCTCAGGAGCCCCTCAAGTTCTCAGCTCTTGCCAAGTGGGTGGTGATTTTTTAGCTGCACTGACCCTTGGCCCACACTGGTCTCCAGCGAGCTGGCCGCCAACCACAGCAAAGCCGCTGGCCCCTGGTCTGCCAAAGGCCCCGAATGTCCTGCAGGGTGGGGGTGGGGGGAGTGGGCAGCTTCTGGCTGGATTTGGAGTCTGCACAGGGGGGAGGCTCAGGAATCTTTCTCAACTTCCCCCATTGCCAGGATCTCTTTTCTCCCATTTCTCTGTCTCCTGCAGCCAAGTGGGTTATCCTTCCTCTTCATCCCTGCCTCAGTGCCCTTCTTGAAGCTTTCTGTGCATTTGGTGGCCAGTTCCAAAGTTGGAGGCTTGTGAGGATAGATGACTGATGATGAGCGCAGGAGTGCTTATGGCTGAGTCAGTACCTGCGAGGTGGTGAGCCACAGCTCTGGGAGCATCGGCCAACAGAACACAGGTCTCTCTGTACACACAGAGCCCCTCGTGCCTGATGGAACAGCCCTTTCCTACCCCACAGGTGGCCAGGGTTCTCAACAGAGAAGGGAACCAGGCAGTGATGGGCTTCAAGAAAGGACCCCACCTCCCTGCACTATATGTTTCCATCAACATCTAGGGCAGCCCTGAAAGGCCACATCAAATCCGATGAGTTATCATTTGGGTTGTAATGTTTATTGATTATGAATTACCAAGCACATAAAAACCTCCTGATTGGCTCGATTGCAGGAGTTGCTTAATGTGGCTCTGCCTTGATTCTGGCCTAGGGGCTCGCACCTGCCCTGGTTGGAGCAGAGAACCAGAAAGAGGCTCAGGTATAGGATGGGCTTTGGCAGCATCAGCAAATCTCCGGGGTTCTTACTGCCCAAAGAACCAAGAAAGGGTGACAGGTGCAGGCTCTGAAATGCTTGGTGTACCTGGGCGTACATTTCTGTCTTGGAGCCAAGCAGACACCACTGCCTACTAGGGTCTGAATCAAGTCTGGAGCCTCCTGGAGTCTCTGATCTACAGCAGACCTTGATGTCTGCAGCATGGAAAGGCTTCTTCCAGGCCCAGAAAGAAGAGCTTGCAGGAAAATTTGAGCAGTGCTTTCTGTAGTGTTTCCTGCCATCTTGCCTCATTTTGGTCGAGATAGTTATCTTTTAGTGCCTTTGAGTGGTTAACCCAATAGGTGAAAGTGAGCAAAAGATATACTGGGTCCTGTCTCAGTGAGCAAACTTGGGAATATCTAAATGATCAAGCACTCCTTGATGTCTAAATCTGCATTATTGCAAAAGTGACTGTATCAGGAAATGCAGGGTATGTTGTTAATAGTGATATAGAGACTAACAAGTGCTAGAGAAGATACAGAAATAAAGGAACCCTATTATATTGTTGACGGAATGTAAATGAGTGTGGCTATTTTGAAAAGTGTTTTGAACTTACCTTAAAAAACTAGAAATAAAGCTATCATCTGACCCAACAATTCCTCTCTTAGGATTCTCTCCAAAGAACATGAGCTCATCAACTTAATAAATTATATGCACTGCGATGTTTATTGCAGTATAATTTACAATAGCTAGGACATGGGGACCACATAAGTATCCACTGATCTTACTAAGGTCAAGAAGATGTGGTGGGCCTCCCCTGGTGGCGCAGGTAGTTGAGCGCAGTGCTGTGAAGCTGTCTGCAGCCTCTGCAGCGCGGGTTCAATCCTGGCTGGCTGGCGAGATACCCAAATGGTGCGGCAGATCTCTCCTGTCTCACCTGCTGCTCCCCTCAGCAGTGCATTTCAGTCAGTCTGCCTGTTCTGTTCCCCACTGTCTCTGGGGAATCCTCTCACCCTCCTGCACATCTGGTCTGTACCCTGGTTCTTGTATGCATGAATAAATAAATCTTAAAAAAAAAAAAAAGATGTAGTATATATACACAGTGGAATAGTATTCAGCCATAAAGAGAGAATCTTGCCATTTACAGCAAAGTGGAAAGAGTTCAAGGGAATTATGTGTTGCAAAGCAAGTCAGAAAGACAAAGACAAATATTGGACATTTACATATGCATGAATAAAGTGAGGAATGTGGACAAATTAACAAAGAAAATATTCACAAAAACTAATCATTGAAATGAGGTTTCTGAGTTTAAGAGGAAAGGGGAAGGAAAGGAATGGTGGTAGGAAAATAAAATTATTGCTATCATTTTATGTTTAACAAGATTTGCATTAATGGCAAAGTTGTTTCTACTATTTTAAAATATTTTTTCTGATTCTGAAGTTAACAAAATTTCTTTTTTTTAAAAAAAAGATTTATTTATTTATGCATAAAAGAACAGAGGTACAGGCCAGAGGTGTGGGGCTGTGGGGGGAGAGGGTGTGAGAGGATTCACCAGAGACAGAGTGGGGAGCAGAACAGGCAGACTGACTGAAATACACTGCTGAGGGGAGCAGCGGGCGAGACAGGAGAGGTCTGCTGCGCCATGTGGGATGCTCCCTGGTCCGGGATTGAACTCGTGCTGCAGTGGCTGCGGTTAGCTTCATAGGTTGCGTCTTATCCCCTTGCACCACCAGGGAGGCCCTTAACAATGTTTCTTTTTAAAAATACAGAAAAGAAGGAAATGAATATTGCTTGTAATCTGAAAAATAATCTTGAGATATAGAAGTCCGTAGCTTTCATATACAGCATAAAGATCAGTATAAAATGAAGGCAAGGTAACCACCCCCAAGTTGACAAATTGGACAGTGAAGTGCCTTAAAAGGTCTACTTCCAAAGAGATTCCATTTTCTCCTCTTCTCCAGGTGCAAACACTAACCTACCTTCTGAAGTCGTTTTTCCTTACAATTTGTGACTCATCTGTGCATCACTAAATAACATTTACTTTTGCCTATTTTGAATTTGATATAAGTGGAACAAAATGTAGGTCATCTTCATGACTTGCTTCTTTTATTTTCTATCATTTGGGAAGTCACCGACATGGATGCCTGTGACTATACCAGTTCATTTTCACTGTTGTGTACACCAATTGATTGAGTGGTTTGACTGTTGTTTCTAGCTAGGGGTTATTTCAAACAACACCAATAAGAACATTCCTGTGTCTGTGCCAGATTTTTTTTTTTTTTTAATTTTATAGAGGCATGTTTATTTATTTATTTATTTGTTTGTTTGTTTTGTTTATACATGCACTGGGTACAGTCAGAAGCGCGGGAGGGTGAGAGAATTCACCAGAGCCAGAGCGGGGAGCAGAGCAGGCAGAAGGACCGAAGGACACTGCTGAGGGGAGCAGCGGGCGGCAGGAGAGGTCTGCGCGCCATGTGGGACCCTCCTCTGGTGGCCGGGGAGCAGCCGGGGATCGAACTGGCGCCGCAGAGGCTGCGGGCAGGTTCGCAACCCAGCGCTCAACCGCTGCGCCACCGGGGAGGCCCCTGTGCCAGATTTTCTGTGACAACTGCCTCTGGGAGTGCAGTTGTCAAACTTGGGGTATGTTCAAACTCTACTAGTTAATGCCACCTTGCTTTTCAGAATGGTGTAGCAACATCTATGCTCACTTGAAATATGTGAGCGTATCTATGGTCAAGGGCCTTGGTGCTAGTCAGATGATATCTTTGCAAATTCAATGGTTATGTAACAGCATCTCATTTTGGTCTCGTTTGCATTGCACTGGGGAGATCACCCATTTCGATTTCCCTTCTTATGAAGGATCTTGGTTTAAGTCTTCTTTGTTGTTTCTTATTTTGATTCACAGAAAGTCTTTTTAAATCCTGAATCCTAGTCCTGTTGCACTTGTAATAACTTTTCTCCCTCTGTGGATTGACTCTTCTCTCTCTTAAGGCAGCTTTAGTTTAACAGATGTTTTTAATTGTGATAGACTCACTCTTACAGATCTCTCTTTTATGATGAATGGCTTTGGTATCTGGTTTGAGAACTCCTCTAATCTCAAGCTCCTGAAGATACTCCTCTATGTTAAATACTCCTAAATCTTTAGAGTTTTGCCTTTCATATACAGTTTTTCAGTCCACCTACATGGATTTTTGAGTATAAAGAGAGGTTCAGTTCCACTTTCCCTCCTGGGAATTATCCCAGTGCTATTAATTGAAAAGTCTACCTTTCCCCAACTGATGTGGATATTACCTCTGACATATATGACTCTGTGGTTGGTCCTGTTTGTGGACTCTCTACTCTGTTTCATTGGTCTATTTGTTAATCCTTATGTAAATACCACGGTGCCTCCATTACTATGGCTTTATAAAAAGTATTAGATCTGATAGAGCAAATCCTCCTATCTTATTTTTCTTCAAGAGTAGCTACTCTTGGCCCTTGGCACTGTCATATAAATTTTAGAGCTCACTTGTCAAGAGCCAACAAAAACCTATTGGGATTTTAATTGGGATTTTACTGAGTCTATAAATCAATTTGTAGAGAAATGACATCTTTACAATGTTGAGTCTTTTGATTCATGGAGTGGTATATTTCTCCATTTATTTAGGTCTTTTTTAATGTCTTTCAATAAAATTTTATAATTTTCTCCATTAATGTCTTGTACATATTTTGTTGGATTTATTCCTGAGTACTTCATATTTTTTAATGCTATTGCGAATGAAGTCTGTTTTAAATTTACTTCTATTACTATTGTTATAAATGAATTGAACTTTTTATATTGATATTATATCCAGAAACTTGGCTTAAACTCCTGTATTAATTCTAATACTTTTATTTGTAGATTATTTTTCATTTTCTCTATATATTATCATTACATGATCTGCTTATAATAATAGTTTTGTCTTTTCCCTTTCCAATCATTATAACTTCTATTTATTTTCTAAAGGTGCTGTCCAGGACCTTCAGTAGAATGTTGAACAAATTGGTAATTATTAGCAATTTTATCTCTATCCCCAAGTTGAAGTTTGGAAAGCTTTTATTTTTTAATTTTTTTTAAAGATTTGTTTATTTTTATACAAAAACTGGGGTATAGGCCAGAGGCATGGGAGGGTGAGAGGATTCACCAGAGACAGAGTGGGGAAAAGAACAGGCAGACAGACCAAAGACATTGCTGAGGGGAGCAGCAAGAGAGACAGGAGAGGTCTGCCATGTGGGCATCTTCCTGGCCGGCCGGGAATCGAACCCACCCTGCAGAGGCTGCAGACAGCTCCACAGCACAGCACTCAACCCACTGCGCCACGGGGAAGCCCCTGGAAAGCTTTTAAATGTGTCTTTATTAAGTGTAATATTTGTTAAAGACTTTGTAGGCAATTCTTACCACCTTTAGGAGATCCCATTCTATTATCAGTTTGCCCAGAATTGTTTTTGTTTTTTTTTTAATTTTTTAAAATTTTATTTTATGTATTTTTTACATCATTTTTTCCAGAATTGTTTTTGATGTAAATGGATGTTGAATTTGAGCTTTTTTTCTCTTCAAATCTATTGAATGGGTTGGAAGGTGTTCCTTCCATAATTAATTATATTAACCTTTTCGGCCTACCAGGTTTTGGGTCTTGCTGATTCTCCCTATTGGCTTTTAGCTTTTTATTTCATTAGTTTCTGTTCTGCATTATTATTTTTTAAATTTACATCTATTTTTCTCTTATTTTCCTAATTTCATGAGCTCACAAAACTCTCACTCTTACTAGTACATACATTTAACAAATTGAGTTCCCCTTAAATACAAATTTTGAAGTGCAGTGTTTTTATTCTTATTCAGTTGAAAATATTTCATAATTTCCATGATGATTTTGTTTTTGACCTATGGGTTACTTATTATTGCATTTTTAAATTTCAAAACACATAAGAGTGCTCTAGTTATCTTTTACTTTTGACTTTTAGCTTAACTGCCTTGATCAAAGAATATACTCTATATTATTTCAGTGCTGTGCACTACACTGAGGCTTGCTATAAAGCAAAGTAGTAAATGGTAATGTTTAGTGGCCTCTGTATTCCATTTTTTTTTAAAGATTTATTTTATTTATTTGGGCATATACAAACTGGGTATAAGCCAGAGGTGAGGGGGTGGAGGGAGTGGGAGAATTAACCAGCGACAGAGCTGGGAGCAAAATAGGCAGATGTACCGAAATACACTGCTGAGTGGAGCAGCGGGTGAGACAGGAGAGCTCTGCTGCGCCATGTGGGTCAGCTCCCTGAGCCAGGGATAGAACTCATGTAGAAAAACTCATGTAGTTTGATAACGCTGAGACTCTGTGCCACCTGGGAGGCCGGTATACTTAAAATGATGTAGTATTTTAGATGTAGATGTAGTATTTTAGCATGTTCATTAACTCAAATTGATTAATCCTGTACAGGTCTCTCATATTTTTACTGAGATGTTAAGTTCATCATTACCATCTTATTTTGTAATTTGTATTTGACCTGACAGATCTATATTACTTTTTCTTTTATTTCTGATCTTCTCAATTGATTTTTTTTTTTTTTTGGTTAATCCACCTCCTCTACTAATTGCCCCTGATTATATTCTTTTGTGGGCACCTAAAATGGAAGTGTAGGTATTTTACTTTGTGTAGGCTCAATGATTGCTCAGGCATTTGCGCCCTTGGCCTCTGTGACTATCACCTGCGACCTTGACTGCAGGAGGCACTTGGGTGCGTGGGCTCTGGGCATGTGTGCCTGATGGTGGGCACCTGGAGCATGGTGTGAGCATGCATAAGTGGGCACACCTGAGCATAGATACAGATCATTTATGGGTGCGACCGAAGACCATAGGCAAAATATATTGAACAATGGCTATGAGAGAGGACTGAGAATGGCTGAGAGAGACCACTAGAGAACTCCAGGGAGAGCCTAAAGAAAGAGTGAAGATTCACCGGGGGAGGGAGGCCTGCCAACCTCTCGGCCCTGGCACCCCTGCCTGCCCTGCACCTGGTTGCCTCACTACAAATGCTGTAGAAAGATCATTAAAAGCCTGAAAAAGCCACTGAGGGCTCCAAGGCTCTCCTTTAACCATCTGCCCGGATCCAGAGAGAACCTGCCCTGTGCCTTACAGCCACTACAGTTTGGATCTCGGGAAATACTAGTTTGGGACTGGAAAAGTCAGACAGAAAAAGAAAGGAAGGCAGTGAAGCCAGAAAGCTCATGGAGATCAATGAGCCAGTTACTGCTGTGGGCACCCAGGGTTTAGTCCTGCACCTCTGGGAGAAGGGAGAGAATGTATCTCAACACTCCTGTTCCAGGACAGGGAAGCTTGGATGTTTATTCACCAATTTTGATGTCCCAGAGGCTGAAGGCCGCTGCATTAACTCCCTGGCTTTTCTGGACTGCTCTAGGTGGAGGCTGATGCTGACCTTCTTTGAAAGCCCTCAGCAGAGTCTCATATGACCACATCAGGAAAATGTTACCATGCACAGGTGTGCCAAGTACAAGGGATATGGGCAGGGCACCATCTGCTTAGAATTACAATATGCATCATTCAATTATCAGAGTCTACCCTCCCTCAGTAATACAAAGCTCTAGAACACTTCAATTCCAGGTATCCACCATCTCCTGAAACTTACAGGCTATTGCTATTGTATATTTTAATTACACCTTGCTTATTATTAATCATTTGTGACATTTGTGTGTGTGTGTTTTATCAGCTTCCTTTGTTTTTTATTCTTTCTTGCATTTCAGATCTTCTATTTGGGTTCACATTCCTTCTGTTTGAAATAGGTCATTGAGGATTTCCTTTCGAGGGGACTACTAATACTACAAATGGCAAACTTTTTCTTTTTTGATTGAAGATATCCTTATTATGTCCCAATTCTTTCCTGATTAGAGAATTCTCAGTTGACAGTGACTTTCACATTGACAACATTGTTCTCTGTCTTCTGCCTTCCACTGTGTTATCCTGCAAAGTCAGCCCTCGGTGTCACTGTCATTCTTCAAAAGTAACCTGTGTCTTTCCTCTAGATGTTTTCAACATCTTCTCATAGCCTTTGGCCTTCTGCAGTTTCACCAATACAACATCTAGGAGTGGGTTTCCTTTTACATATCTTGTTTGGGACTCACTGGACTTTCAAATGTGTCCTTCTGTTATAAGGTTTAAATAAGGTAGTATATGTAAAGTACATAGAATAGTACCTGACAAAATAAGCTGACCAATAAAAATTATCTTTATAAATAGATTCTGTGCATTGATGTCTGTGCCAGTTATTAATTTATTGCCTCATAGCTCTAACCACCCTTTCTGTATTTGGTTACGTAAGAGCTGGACTCTGCCAACACAATTCTCCTTTGCCACGTGCCTCTATGTGTTAGGTTGTGCCAATGGGGGATGTTGGAGGGATCCTAAGGTTTGATGAAGAGGGGGAGATTTGCAACTTCCTAGGTTTTCCCCTGAGGTCTGGGTGAGGGAAAACACGAGGTCCATTGCGCAGTCTCTCCTGAATCCATGCGGAATGGAGCTCGTGCTAAGGGCTGTATGAGCTCAGTAAAGGGAATTTAAGGAATTCCTAAAGCAGCGGAGGGCTTTAAATGCACTTTGAAAGAACTGTCAGGATTTGGATTAACTGAATGTGTGAGGAGGTGCTTGAGAGAGACTCAGAATTGGAGGCACTGGTTGAAGCTGCAGATGACAGAGCTAGGATGGAGAGGCATAAGCAGGACAAGGAGAGGGTTTTGTGGTTAGCCTGGGTATTGGAGAAATCCCCATCCTGTTTTTTAAAATTGCTCTTTCACCATCTCTCCAGACTTCATCTGAAAATCCTTCGTGAACATTCCTTAACTCTGGATGCGTTTCCTATCATTGTCTTTCTCTTCTTTACTTTCTTTCACATGTTTAAATTCAAACGATTCTCTGTGGCTCTTTTTTCTGGGACAATCACTGCAGGAAGGAGAAGAGTGATGGTGTTCTGGGAGTGTGGCACGTCTTGCTGAACTTACGGGTTCTTCAATGAGTTAAATCATTTTCCCACAATCCCAGTGATTCTTCCCTTGGAGCTGAACTTCACCCCTTGGCCAGTGTTGCATGCAGCTCGTGACCCTTCCCCTGCCACTCCCCCCTTCTCCTAGGCTCCCTTCCCAGGAATTTCATAACATCCTAGAATGGCCAGAACATTTTGGGTGTATTTCTCTGTTAGTATTTAACCAAGCCGCTGTCTCTAATGGATAGGATAAACTGATGGAAAGTTGAGAGCCTGAGACTCAGAAGGCAACTTCTGCAGGTGACTCCTGCTGCTGGGAACTGGAAGGAGAGCAGTGCACTGGAGCACTGGAGCAAGCACAATGGACTCTGGCTTCACCTCCAAGGACACGTACCTGAGCCACTTTAACCCACGGGATTATCTAGAAAAATATTACAACTTTGGGTCCAAACAATCAGCAGAAAATAAGATTCTTAGACATGTTCTGCAAAGCCTTTTCAGGATATTCTGTGTAGGTAAGTGTATCTATTGTCTGTGTGTCTCCCCACCAAAATATGAGTCCTACAGAGTCTCAGGACACAAAGTGGGTTTAGTGTCTTGTCATTGTTATCTGACAGCCCTTTTGGGCATTTTGTGTTTATTTAACTAGGAAAAAACTAACATTGATGTATATGTCTTATAGTTTTCAGAGCGCTTTCATACCTAGGCTAAAGGGAAATCAGAGGATGGAGTTCTGTCCTAGATTTGTAGGGATTTTAGCAGAATTGGCCATCTCACCTTGATGAACCACTTAAGAAATGGAGATTCTATTGCTTGTTCTATTTTTAAAAAATGTTTATTTATTTATATAAGAACCAGGGTACAGGCCAGATGCGCTGGAGGGGTGAAAGGATTCACCAGAGACAGAGTGGGGAACAGAACAAGCAGGCTGAAATACACTGCTGAGGGGAGCAGCGGGCGAGGCAGGAGAGGTCTGCCATGCCATGTGGGTTTCTCCCTGGCTGGCTGGTATTGAACCCGCGCTGCAGAGGCTGTGGACAGCTTCACAGTGTGGCGCTCAACCACCTGTGCCACCAGGGAGGTCCCTGCTTGTTCTATTTCTAACTCAAAGTGATGATATAAATATGCATGAGTTAAAGACCTCCAAATATATGTAAAACGAGGTACTTTTTGGGAGAAAGACATAATATAAGCTCAATTAAAATTCTTTTAACTTTCCCCCAAAGTCTTCCTTAATAGTTTTTAACCTTCTCTATGTAGGAATCTTCCTGGATCAAGGGTCTATACAACAGATGTAGAATTCTTCTCTTTTGCTTCCACCTAAAAATATGCTGGCAACATGTACCCCCCTCTGGATTGGAGATGGAAAATGAAAAAAAAATGTTTTAAAATGAGACCTGGGGGGAAGGAGTAAGTGGAGAGATACCCTGTTTGGGGGGAATGTCCAGAATAATCCCAGCAAAGGTGATATAAATGAGCTCTGTCTCCTGCCATCTGACGCCTGACCCCTCCCTTTAATCGCTCCCACCCTAGATGGCGTGAAGGGAGACCTCCTGATTGACATTGGCTCTGGACCCACCATCTATCAGCTCCTCTCTGCTTGTGAGTCCTTCAAGGAGATCATCGCCTCTGACTACACTGACCAGAACCTGAAAGAGCTGGAGAAATGGCTGAAGAAGGAGCCAGGGGCCTTTGACTGGACCCCAGTAGTGAACTACGTGTGTGAGCTCGAAGGGAGCAGGTAGTGAAATGGGGGGGGGGGCTGCCTCCTGGCTTTCTGAGGGTGACTGGGTGACAGTTTTTCTAAACCAAGAATGATGCTGGAGCCAAGCTGAAAAGCAAGGGAGACAGAGAGACACCAAACATAAATCCAAATGGAGACTAAAGACTGAAAGTGAATGAGAGAATGAGATAAAAGTGTGTGTGTGTGTGTGTGTGTGTGCATGTGTGCATACGCACATCAGCACAGGAGATGAAGGGAGAGTTTAAGAGATGGACACTAAGCCAAGAGGAGTAGATGCAACCTTCTCAGTTCCAGGTACTGCGTGTGGGCCTTGTTTAGGACAATTTCGAGTAAGAGGCTACATCAGCTCCTCACCCACAGCTTTGTGGTGTCAGGGCTCCCCCACTTTGGTGCCATTCTGTTGCTAGCCAGCCAAGACTATGTACAAGTCATTTAGGACCTTGGAGGCCAAGTTGTGCAGTGAGAAGGCATTAGAGCTATAACCTAGAGGGAGATGTGTCACAATTTACATTTATAAAGATCATGCTGGTTATTGTGTGGAGGGATTGAAGGAGTTTAGAAGAGAAAGAGAAGTGCAGGAAGGAGACAATTTAACTCCAGACTTGCACTAGATTATGGAGGGAAGTAGATGACTGTAATATGAATTTTTGAGTTAGAATGGCGAAGAGTTGGTGATGACCAGTTCTGGGAAGTGAGGTGTCAAGGGTGATTTCCATGTTTCTGAACTTGAACAGGAGGATGGAGGTAGTATTCCTGAATCCCAAGGATAAATATAAAACCATGTGGTCTTAAGGTGTTCCTGTGGAGTGTGCCTGCCTCCACACTTTTCTTGGGGTGACGGTCAATTCATTTCTCTGCCCTTGCAATGATATTTGATTCCCATTTAGTTGCCAACTTTTCTTTCTTCCTGAGTCAGTTTCTCTTCTGACTGTTTCTATTTCTTTAACTACTGCCCCCCATATTTTTTTAATGGTCTTTTGACTTCTAGATTAATAGGAGAATCTACACTTTTAATCATTTTCTTATATATTGTCACTACATGGCTTATTGGTAGAAAAGTGGATTGTCAAAAAGTAAATGTCAAGGTGACTCACTGGTGGTACTGCTCTTTATAATGTAATAGTTTAAGTGAACTAGGAGTTTTATAAATTGTTTCCAATTAACCTTTTTGGCTATCATGCAGAGAAATAAGCTAATATATTTTTGGAAGTTTTGTGTCTATATTTATAAAGGATATTGGGGTGTCATTTTCTTGCAGATATTTGTTGTTTGGTGTTTGCATGGGGTGGTATGTGTCCTCTAAGATCATGCCCAGTAATCCTTACCTCAAGTATCCACAATCTTATTTAATTTCCTCCCCTTGAGTGTCCATTGGATTTAGTAACTCAATTTTAACAAATCATAGCAATGGGCCATCAATTCTGAAATTAGTTTACAAAAAGACTACAGTTTCCCTAAAGGGTAGCTCACTCTCATTCAGTTGTCCTGAAGAGTGAGCTGGAAAGCAAATCCTGCTCTTCCCCCACCCCCATTGGACCTTCAGATGAGACTAAAACTCTGACTACAGCTTCACGCAACAAAGGGACTTAGCCAATATATACCCAGATAAATAACCCAGAAACTGTGAGATAAATGCTTGTTATTTTAAATGGCTAATTTGGGGTAACTTATTATGCATCAATTGTATCTGATATACATGGTATTTCTTTTTATATCTTTTTGTTTTTAAAAACTATCTGTGTTTTTATACTTACAATATTTTTCTTACAAATACCATGTAGTAGGTCTTGCATTAATCAATCCAATCGGACAATTTCTGTTCTTTCATCAAAGTGTTTAGTCCACTTACATTTAGTGTAATTACTACTCTTATACAGTTGAGTCTAAATCTGTCATCTTGGCACATACTTTCTAGTTGTCTCATCTGTGTGTCCTTCATGTTGTGCCTTTGTTCCTGCTTCTTCTTGGTTATTGGAATAGTTTTTGGTATTCCATTTAGTGTAAGTAAATATACTTTTAGCTTCCTTTTTGTCTCTTCTACTGATTCTCTGTCCTTTTTTGACTTCTTTTGTGCTTTATGTATGTACACGTGATTTTTCATGTGTGCTACGTGTTTTTTAAACAGAACCATTACTTCATGAACAATATTCTAATAATATTAGAGCAGTGTAATTCCTTTAACAGACCTTCCTATCCCTTGTGTAATTGTTGTTATATATTTTGCTCTATATATGCTATAACCTTACTTTATTATTTTTGTTTTAAGCAGCCTCTAGTGCTTTTATTTATGTTGGTGTTTTACTATTTTTATTTATTTATTATTATTTTTAATCTTAAATTTTTATTTTATATTCCCCATACAATTGCAACGCCCCATTCTGACCCCAATCCTTCCCCTCCCGCCCCCCACCCCCCAAAAATGTCTCTGGTTCATAGTTTTTTGTTGATTTTGATTTTTCACTTTCTTATATTCATTTTCCTGGTCCCTTATTTAAGTTTTCTAGATTCCTGCTATGAGTGAGACCATCCGGTATTTTTCTTTCTTTTGGCTTATTTCGCTGAGCATGATCCCTTCCAGCCCATCCATGTTGCTGCAAATTGCATGTGTTTATCTTTTTTGAATGCTGAGTAATATTCCGTGGTATATATGTACCACATCTTCTTGATCCAGTCATCTACTTTTGGGCATTTGGGTTGTTTCCAAAGCTTAGCTATTGTAAACAGTGCTGCTATAAACATAGGGGTGCAGGTGCTCTTTGGAATTGATGTTTCTGTGTCCTTTGGGTAAATACCTAGGAGTGGAATTGCTGGATCATATGGAAGCTCTATGTTTAGTAGGTCCAGAAATCTCCACACAGCTCTCCATAGTGGTTGGACCAGTTTGCACTCCCACCAACAGTGCAGAAGAGTTCCTTTTTCTCCACACCCTCGCCAACATTTGTTGTTGCTAGTTTTTTTAATATGTGCCATTCTCACTGGTGTGAGATGGTATCTCATGGTAGTTTTGATTTGCATTTCCCTGATTGCAAGTGATGTTGAACATTTTTTCATATGTCTGTTGGCCATTTTGCATTTCCTCTTCAGAGAAGTTTCTTTTTAGCTCTTCTGCCCATTTTTTGACTGGATTATTTTCTTTGTTGTTGCTGAGTCTCATCAGCTCTTTGCAGATTTTTGTGATCAGTCCTTTATCATTAGTGTTGGGTGCAAAAATGTTCTCCCAGTTGGTGGGGTTTCTCTTTGTTTTTGTTATTGTCTCTTTTGCTGTGCAGAAGCTCTTTAATTTGATGTAGTCCCAGCTGTTTATCTTTGTCTTCACTATCACTGCTTTGGGTGATGTGTCTGTAAAGATGTCTTTGATGTGCAAATCCCGTAGTGTTTCGCCTATATTTCCTTCTATGTATTTTATGGTTCAGGTCTTATGTCTAGTTCTTTAATCCATTTGAGTTGATTTTTGTGTATGGTGTGAGGTAGTAGTCAAGCTTCATTCTTTTGCATGTAGCGACCCAGTTTTCCCAGCACCATTTATTGAACAAACTTTCTTTGCTCCAATGCATAGTCTTTGCTCCTTTGTCAAAGATTAGTTGACCATAAATCTGTGGGTTTATTTCTGGATTTTCTATTCGATTCCATTGGTCTGTATGTCTGTTCTTGTTCCAATACCATGCAGTTTTGATGATTATGGCTTTGTAGTATAGTTTGAAGTCTGGGAGTTTGATGCCTCCATTCCTTCTTTTTTTTCAGTAGAGCTTTGGCTATTCGGGTTTTTGGTGATTCCATATGAATTTCATCAATAATTGTTCTATTTCTTTGAAGAATGCCATTGAGATTTTGATTGGAATAGCATTGAATCTGTATATTGCTTTTGGTAGGATGGCCATTTTAATAATGTTTATTCTTCCAATCCATGAGCAGGGGATGTCTTTCCATTTCTTTGTGTCTTCTTCTATTTCTTTTAACAGTGTTTTATAGTTTTCTTTATATAGGTCCTTTACCTCTTTTGTTAGATTTATTCCCAAATATTTGATTTTTTTTGTTTCAATAATAAAAGGGGTGGTTTTTTTTATTTCTTCTTCTTCAGATTTATTGTTTGTGTATAGGAAGGCTACTGACTTTTGCGTGTTGATTTTGTATCCTGCCACTTTACTGAACTGATTGATGAGTTGAATTAATTTTTTCTGTGGAGATTTTGGGGTTCTCTATGATATTATCATATCATCTGCAAATAGTGATAGTTTGACTTCTTCTTTTCCTATTTGGATTCCTTGGATGTCTTTCTCTTGTCTTATTGCTCTGGCTAGGACTTCCAGTATTATATTGAAAAGCAGTGGTGAGAGTGGACATCCTTGTCTTGTTCCAGATCTTAATGGAATTGCTTTCAGCTTTTCACCATTGAGAATGATACTGGCTGTTGGCTTGTCATAGATGGCCTTTATGATGTTGAGGTATGTTCCTTGTATCCCAAGAATTTCAAGGGCTTTTATCATGAATGGTGTTGCACTTTGTCGAAAGCTTTCTCAGCATCTATTGATATTATCATATGGTTTTTTATATTTCTTTTGTTGATGTGTTGGATAACGTTGATTGATTTTCGGATGTTAAACCATCCTTGTGCCCCTGGAATGAATCCAACTTGGTCGTGGTGAATTATCTTATGGATACATTGTTGGATTCTGATAGCTAAAATTTTATTGAGGATTTTTGCATCAGTGTTCATTAGGGAGATTGGCCTATAGTTTCCTTTTTTTGTGTTGTCCTTATTCGGTTTTGGTATTAGTGTAATATTGGCTTCATAGAACGTGTTTGGTATTGTCCCTTCCTTCTCAATTTTTGGAAGAGTTTGTGAAGGATAGGCACTAATTCGTCTCTGAATGTTTGGTAGAATTCATTTGTAAATCCATCAGGTCCTGGGCTTTTGTTTTGGGGAGGTTTTTGATTACCATTTCAATTTCGCTGCTTGTAATTGGTCTGTTTAGGTGTTCTATTTCTTCTTT